TTGCAGGTGAAACAGACTGAGTGAAGACTTTTATAGTGAGTAAATAGGATAAATTAATATATGAAATAAGAGAAATCACTCGTATCAGTACTAATTAGGATGACACAAGTTGTAAGGTTCACTCTAACCATGCAAAAATGTAACCAAGGATGAACCAACCAACAAACAAAATGGCATTTCCAAAAGCATTTAGCATAATTAGTCAATATAAATGACATTAAAGCCCAATTTTTCTACAGCAAATCATTAGGGGCACAAAGTCACATTGTCAGTTAGGGGAAAAGCTGTTTTTAACCAACCTCTGAATCACCACATGAATGTATTACTAAAATAAATCCGAACAGAGCTCAATTTATTTAACTCAAACAGACACAATGAAAACACAGATACAAGAGAGCTGATTTATTGGAAAGATTTGTCATTATAGAAATGTAACAGCATATTTCTGTCAGGGTTCTGTGCTCTGCTGATTTTCTCCCACAGGTGACTGTTGTTGACAGATGGGCGTGGGCCTACACCTGTGGCTCGTTGGGGCTGCTCTGCTGGAGCTTAAGAGGAGTCAGCTGAAAGACGCCAAAGAACAGAGACGCCTAGGCCTCTGTCCTGTCGACAGATCTTCGTTAACCTGATGTTTTGGATTCCTGCTTCTAACCTATCTCTTGTCTCCCTCAGTTTGTTGTGCTCTGGATTGCTCTTCCATCTGTTTTCGTGCTCTGAAGACTGGTCTCTGAATCCCTACTGCTCAGATTTTGCACAAGCGTTCCCCTCAAGCCCCTGGGTATTACCGAGCTGGACAAGGGAACCCCTTTCCTGGACTCACGCTGATTTCTTCAGCTGCTCCTCGAACCTACCTCCGCTGTGGTGCTGCTCAGTCCCCCGCTTAAATCAGCAACTACGCAGATTCTCCTAACTTTCTTAGTTTTAACCAGTTTCCTCTTTCCTCCCTCAGAGCCCCAAACACTGACGTTCTGAAACTCACCTGCGGCTCCCGTTCTGCACCATTCATAGTTGTGTGTAGCCTAAATAAGCATCTCTGTGCTCAGCTTGAGATGGAAAAAAGGAAGTAGAAAGTTTGTGTGCAAACAATGTCACTTCAGTGAGCTGAAGGTGATATCTAATTGGTTACATGTGTACATTAACTCTGCTTGATTAACCTGAGTGACTTAACATAAAAAGTCAATTTTTCTCAATATAAACATGAAATGTTAATAAAGAAATAATTAGTTGTAAAAAAAAAAATTAGCATTGAATATGCTTGCAAAATACAAACCTTATAACACACGTATACTTGTATACTGTGTGTATACGTATACTGCTATGTAGAAATCATTCACTATTAACCAGCTTTAAGTTAAGGCCGGTTTTCACACCTGAGTTACACTGTGCTGGAAGCATTTTGCAACTAAAATGTAATTACCAAATATAGTAGATAAACAAGCTTGTAAAAATCTAAACAGTGATTTTACTATACTGTATATAAAATCAGGCTGTGTATGATTGTTTGTGCAGCACATCTGTAAAAGATACTGTTTTGCTAAGATGCATTAAAAATAGACACATTTACCCTGCAATTACTTTCACACCTTCACACACATTTAATTACATTTACACAGACATTTGGTAGTTTTTGTTGATCAACGTTACTGTGTTCACTGTATCATGATTCAGCTCTTTCTGGGCATTCTGGTTCTGTTTGTTTCTTTTTGAGTTTTCAGTTACACTCTAATTTATGTCATTCTGTGTTTTCTAGGTAATTCGTTTGATTTCCATTTTGTGTCATTCTAGTTGTTCTTCTGGTTGTATTTGAGTCATAGTGTATTTCTTGTTTACTCTTTGTTGCCCCCTTGTGTTAGCCTCCTTTCCCCTTCCTCCCTTCTAAATCCTTCTGTCCGCAACTGCTCCCAATCAGTTGATTACTACATTCTTTGTTCTGTTTGCCATTTATTCTCCTTCCTTGCAGTTACTGTTTGCTGGTTACTCTTCATTCCGTCAGGTTGTGTGTAAGCCTCCACATAACCTGACACACTGTTGTATTCAGCAGTGCAGGACTGTATCTATTTTTACAGTTTTCCAGTTTCCATTTGGGTTTTCTGAATATGAAATTATTTAGCACTTAGGGTAATGCGTTACAGAATTGCATGTTCCCCAGTTAAAATAATCAACCCTTTTTTTTTTTTATGTTATGTCCTCGTGATCTCAATGTGTTCATAATTCCAAATAAACCAATATTAGTCAAAAGGAGATGTAGTTCCTGCAGCCATTGGGTTTTTACTGTGAGATAAAACAGGATCGCAAGATGGTACATTGCTGACAACCCTAGTGAACTGATTTACATGTTGCTTATTTTACATAAAATTTCACAGGAAAAATAAATTTTGTTCAAAATAGGTTTTTATTGAGTCATACAATTTTCTATCAATAATATTAGAAAATCCATCTTCTTTCTTAAATTGTTTACTTGGCCTTAGTCAGCTCTTATACAGCAGAGTTGCCTAGGTTGTTAGTTTTCTGTAACAGTAGCAATGGCTGATGAAGTTCCTTGGAGACTCGTTATAGCGGGCAACCTGTCCCATTCAACCACAACAACTATCCATCATGCAAATCTGGAACAGGGAAACCACATTTAAGTCTACTATTATCTGCTTTACTGCCCCCAGTTGTCAAAAACCTATAAGAGGGTCTGCTGCTAACAGCCATGGACATTTGCTTAAAAAAAGAAAAGAAAAATACTGAAATTTGACTCGGGGGTGTGTGGGGGTGGGGGGTTGAAAGGAGCAACAGGTCACAGATCAGAAGGTTTTCTTACCTAAGTTTGACATATTTGTGTGTTTGTGTATGAGATTGTGTGTTTACGTATTTTTCCATGCTTCCATGGCAATAATTTTTTAGACCTGATTGACCCATACAAGTATCAAGTTTCTTCAATATTCAGATTGAAATAGAAGTCCTCTCATTTTGGTATTACAAGCAGATCCCTTCAATCAACCTCATCTCTCAGAACTCCTGTTCTAGATTTTTTAGATTATGATTCTGCTGTTCCGAATATCTGAGAAAGAATTATAATCAGTAAGACTGCAGATAAAATACAAACACCTCTGTGAGTTACATTTTCATCAGTGTCACTTCTATTAGCATATAACAGAACTCAGTATCTAATTAGTTTATTTCTATGTTAATGCAATAACAACTTTGACGTACTTTAAATGGGACTTAAATACATCAGCATTGGAGCTCATTTCATACGCAGGGGGAGTTTATTCCTTCAGGGGCTCCAACATTGCACAACATGGCATCCAAATATTGTTTTGGCATCATTAGTAGTTTTCTCCTCTCTTCTTCAATCTTCTTGAGACTACAGGTCTTTGGTGTTAGAAGAAAAATCCCAGAAACAGGATACGCTGCTCGGGTAAAAGGTTTTTTAACGCAAAAGTTTGTAAACAGCTTCTAAACAGTCACAGCCACAATGTTAACATTATACAGTTCCTGAGAGGCAATTTTTTCATAATGTCAAGAGTAAACGCTTTATATCTTCCCCCAGAGAAACTTTGTAAACCTCTAACTGAGAGGTTTGGAGCTATAAGAGTTTTTTATTTGTCATATCAGTCATCACATCAGGGGATTTAGTGTGTTTTCTTTACATGCATTCTGAAAACAACCAGAGATTCAATTGGTGGTTAACTGCTTACTGTTGCATTCATCGTCTATCCTGGGTTGCTTTGCCTTGAGGTATGATTAGTCTTTCCCTGACAGTCCAAAAACATAGACTGTTAGGTCTCTCTCTAAACTGCCCTTAGCTGTTAGTGTGTGGGCATGGGGGTTTGTCCTGTGTGTCTTTGTGCTTCCCTGTGAAGAAGTGGGAACCTTTTCATGCTGGACTTAATGAAAGCTAGAGGTGGACAGAAAATTAATCATCATCTTATATGCTCTGAAACGTCTTCAGTTTTCATAGGGCTAAATTCTGATAAAGAAGCTAATTCTATTTCTCTATTATACTGTAGACTTAGACTAAGACAACTTTTGTTGTGATTTTGTATACACAGAGTGTATACAAAAGAAAACTTCATTTTGTACAGCTTTCATGATATTTTCATTTCTTAAAGTGCAGCAGTGATCAAATATAAACAAAAAACATGGTGCAAAAATGCATTGATATGGAAGTTCAGAGCATTAAATACATATTATTTAACACAGCCCATTTGCCATGCCTCCTACTGTTTATACATCCGCTGTACATTCTATCACATTTCTGCAGTATTATCATTTTAAATTCCCATGATAAGCACCTTGTGGAAACAATCATGTCCAGGGGCCTGTTTCAATAAGGAAGTTCAACCAACTCTGAGTTAAAACTTGAACTCTGAGTTGACTTATCCTGAGATTGGAAACTCTGAGCACAGATATTACGAGTCAC